AAGCACAAGAAAAAGCCTTAAACAAGGGATTTAAATTTGTCCCCACAAAACAAGTAGACAAATTTGAAATGTATGTACACATAAACAAATTCAAAGGACCATTGTTTTATGAGGAATGATAGGCACCAAAATATGGAATCTTCACAGACAGAGGTCCACAGAACCTTAACAGAAAGATCAACTTTCTTTCCCTGTAATTTCATTTCAGATAAGATGATTGGTAGAGTTGAGTGGACACCTGGATGTTCAGGTCCGGCGGGTTTGGCCGAACTTTGAAAAAAAGTCCGGGTTCGGACTCGAACTTGAACCCGAACCCGAACCCCATTGAAGTCAATAAGGAACCAGAACTTTTGGGCACAAAAATGCCTCTAAAAAAAACTTCTGGAAAGGGCTAGAGAGCTGCAAAAGAAAAGTAAAATGGGGGTAAGAGTAGGACAAGTGCCCTGCAAACAAATGTGGATAGGGAAATCACTTAAAATTATTGTGATCCTTGTCTGCAGTTAGCACAGTCCTTTTGGGTACAAACATGCACAGTCTTTAAAAGTAATTTAATTCCAGGCACTTTATTGTTGAGCTTCACCACAGAGACAGCAGCAAATGAAAAAAACCAATAATGTAACACAAATCCCTATAAATAAAAACCTAGTTCGTCTGAGCACTAACTAACATCAGATCCCCTATCTCTCAGGGTTAAGCTATAACAAAATAATATTGGTTTCACCAACCTAGTGTCTATGTCAGCTCTCTGCACTCCAGTGTTTAGTCAGCCTGCTGCTTCCAGCCCTTCAAGAGAGAAACAATCATTCTCCCCTTACCTGCCTAGCAGGGAGGGGTTTATTCCCACTGCTGCAGCTGATTACCTGCAGCTGAGCAGTGGGTTGGAGACAGTCCAAAAAACCCTGGCCTGGATCTATGTCTCCCAAGAAAAAACAATAAACAGCGGAGTGGAGAGACCCACCCTGCTCTCCAAATGCTACACCTCAGGGGCCCATAATTAAATATTAATTTACGTTATTTACACACCATAACACACACTCCCCCTGGGGTTAAAGATCATATGCCTCTCTGAACAATGCAGTTGAAATATAAACTCCCTCGGAGACCACCCCATTCACCTTATCACAGCTGAGCCATAAAATAGCACTAGATGGAATCTTTGATTTTAGCTTTGGAAGAACATAAATCAAAATCTAAAGCATGGCTGTCAGGAGGATTACCAGAATTATCCATTTGAGAGAGGTTTGGAGTGCAGGGTATTCTCTTTCATTGTTCAAACTGAGCTCAACTCAGGTGACCGTGGCGGTGGAGGAGGAAGCGGCGGTGGAGGAGGAAGTGGCGGTAGAGGAGGAGGAGGTAGCCAACACTGTTTTTTTTTTTTATTTTTTTTTTATTGGGGTAGCCCCCAAAATATTGGGACATATAAAAAAATAAACATTTGCGGCCTGCGGTGCATTTCTTGCAGTCCTGATGCATGGAGAAAAAGCCTTCACAAGCCTCTGCTATTGTGTACAGCCTATATCCCATAAAAAGGCTCTAAATCATGTGAGTTTATTTCCACTCACTTTTGTGGTTATTCACATCTTCTTGACTAGATTACACTATATGAATTCTATTTCCCTTTATTTTACAATATGTGACGAGACCAATCTCGCCACATTGCGTTGGAGAAGCCTATTTGCCAGCCTCCTTCCACATGACTATGGCCCCTGGGAGATGGTGAAAACGTATGCACTTTTATTGGGTGTGTATGGCCCTTTAAGACAGTCAGTGGGCATATTGTGGCTTATGGACTCTTTATGGGACTGGTGCTGGCCCTTTAAACACCTTTTTGGGACATCAGGAAGATTGACTAATCTTGTGTGCTGAAACGGTCCGTTACACAATATATTACCATTTTATATATTTGAGAGGTAAGTCCCAGTTTTTATATATCAAGTTTTTTAGCACTGCACTACCTGCCATTTGTGTTGTAAGGGGATTATCACCTTAACATTGGAGTGCTGTGTTTTACAACTTCTCTCAATTATTTGGAGTGCCCACATAGTGTTTTCAGCTGCCAAACTTAAAGGGACACTATAGTCACCCAGACCACTTCAGCTCAATGAAGTGGTCTGGTGCCAGGTGCCTCAGGTTTTAACCCTTCAGATGCAAACATAGCAGTGCTAGCCTCTAGTGGCTGTCTTCAGGACAGCCACTAGAGGCGCATCTGCGACGCTGGAGGCACATTATGCCTCCATCGCGCAGAGCATCCATAGGAAAGCATTGAGAAATGCTTTCCTATGGACACTTTGAATGCGCGCGCAAACCAACTAAACATTTTCTTGTTTACAGAAACGCTTCTATGTTTGGATGGGAGCAGTACTGAGCCAAGTTGGCCCCGATTGCGGAGAACATCCCATAGCTTACAGTAGCCAAAAGCTACCGAGAAGGAATGCCTGGGCATTGTATGGGCCCTGAAAAAATGACAGCCCTATATCTATGGACAACCATTCTCCTTGCTCATGGATAATAACCTGTTGGTCTGGCTGAGCTTGACGCTGCAGCCCTTTGACTTCACGATCCATTACCGCCCAAGGAAACAAAACGGAAACGCCGACGTGTTGTCCAGACAGACTGAACTGGAAAAATGATCCGTGAGCACGCCAGACTTCCCCAAGCCGATCCATCTGGATCAGAATGTGTATGCCAGCTTGTGGTTACAGGAAGCCGTGTAGCAGACAACCGTTCGGTTGTCCGTAGCCTCCTTGTTCGTTTCCCAAATGGATTATGTGTGGTCCCCCTTTTATGCCCCCAAACACTGACCACCCCTGGCTTCTCAACTTCAAAAGAGCAATTAGCTCAAGTGCTTTCCCTGGGTGGCTGCCACTCGTATAACCGAACACACGTGCTCTAGTGAATGGCCATTTTGTCTTCCAAACGCAGGTCGTCAAACGTGTGGAACTCTCTTTGGCTACGCGATGCTGCAAACCCCAGGGAAAACTGTACCGCTACCCGTTCAGCTCCCAGCAGTGGCGTACACATGACCCATGGGGCCCCGGTGCGAAAATTGATCCGTGGGCCCCCCTCCCCCCCCCGCGCGGGCCGGGCCGCAACACATGGCGGTGGGCACCTGGTCGCAGGGGTTACAGGGCTGCGAACCCTGCGACCGCGGTATGTACGCCAGTGCATGCAGATGCACACACACTTAAAGGACCACTCTAGGCACCCAGACCACTTCAGCTTAATGAAGTGGTCTGGGTGCCAGGTCGAGCTAGGGTTAACCCATTTTTTCATAAACATAGCAGTTTCAGAGAAACTGCTGTGTTTATGAATGGGTTAAGCCTTCCCCTATTTCCTCTAGTGGCTGTCCCATTGACAGCCGCTAGAGGCGCTTGCGTGCTTCTCACTGTGATTTTCACAGTGAGAGCACGCCAGCGTCCATAGGAAAGCATTATGAATTGCCGCGCGTGCGCATACAGCCGACGGGGAGGAGAAGAGGAGGATCGGAGGAGGAGAGCTCTCCGCCCAGCGGTGGAAAAAGGTAAGTTTTACCCCTTTCCAGAGCCGGGCGGGAGGGGGTCCCTGAGGGTGGGGGCACCCTCAGGGCACTATAGTGCCAGGAAAACGAGTATGTTTTCCTGGCACTATAGTGGTCCTTTAAAGGACCACTACAGACACCCAGATCACATCAGCTCAATGAAGTTGTCTGGGTGTCAGGTCCCTCTAGTTTTAACCCTGCAGCTGAAAACATAGCAGTTTCAGAGAAACTGCTATGTTTCACTGAGGTTAATCCAGCCTCTAGTGGCTGTCTCACGGACAGCCGCTAGAGGAGCACACTGAACGTCCATAGGAAAGCATTGAGTAATGCTTTCCTATGGGCGGTTTGAATGCGTGCGCGGTCGCATTCGGAGCTGAGAGGCTGAGGGATCCTCAGCGCCAAGGGAGTCCGGCGCTGGAGAAAGGTAAGTGCTGAAGACACACACACTCTCATTTACAGACGCATACACAGACTTAGATAGACTGGGGGCTGGGCACTCAAATGGCAGATGAAATTTAATGTTGAAAAATGCAAAGTTATGCACTTCGGCGTAAAGAATACACAAGCAACGTATACCCTTAATGGAAGCGAATTAGGGATAACAACACATGAAAAGGACTTGGGAATTGTTATAGACAACAAACTATGCAACAATGTGCAATGTCAATCAGCAGTGGCCAAGGCCAGTAAGGTATTGTCATGCATGAAAAAGGGCATTCATTCTCGGGACAAGAATATAATTTTGCCTCTTTATAAATCACTGGTAAGACCCATATTGAATATGCTGTGCAATTTTGGGCACCTGTTCTAAAGAAGGATATTATGGCACTAGAAAAAGTGCAGAGGCGGGCTACAAAATTAATAAAAGGAATGGAACATATCGGCTATGAAGAAAGGTTAACAAATTTAAACCTATTTAGTTTAGAAAAACGTCGCCTGAGAGGGGATATGATAACATTATACAAATATATTCGGGGCCAATACAAACCATTGTGTGGAAATCTATTCACAAACCGGACTTTACATAGGACACGAGGCCATGCGTTTAGACTGGAAGAAAGAAGATTTCGTCTAAGGCAAAGGAAAGGTTTTTTTACTGTAAGAACAATCAGGATGTGGAATTCTCTGCCTGAGGAAGTGGTTTTATCAGAGTCCATACAGATGTTCAAACGGCTACTAGATGCATACTTGCAAGAACAGAATATTCAAGGATATAATCTTTCAATGTAGGGTAATAACTGCTTGATCCAAGGATAAATCTGACTGCCATTCTGGGGTCAAGAAGGAATTTTTTTCCTAGCTTGTTGCAAAATTGTGCTTCAAACTGGGTTTTTTTGCCTTCTTTTAGATCAACAGCAAAAAACAAATGTGAGGAAGGCTGAACTTGATGGACGCAAGTCTCTTTTCAGCTATGTAACTATGTAACTATGTAACTATGTAACTAATACACACTAGCTAACAGACACACACATTTACTGACAGAGATACAGTCAGCGACAGACATACATACACACTCACTTACAAAACATACACTTTCATTGACAAACACACACTCACTAACAGACATCAAACAGACTCACTAACACACACACACTCAGTAAGACACACACAGTAACACACTCACTGACACTCACTAGCAGACACACACTAACACTCACTCTAACACTCACACTAACACTCACTCACTCTAACACTCACACACACTAACACTCACACTAACACTCACACACACACTAACACTCACACACACACTAACACTCACACATGATTTTTTTTATTTTTTTTTATATAATCCCCCCAGCCTCCTTACCTCTTGGAGTGCTGGGGGGGATTATTCCCTGGGGTCCAGTGGGGCTCCTGGGCGGGTGGCCGGTCGGGCAGGCAGGCGGGCGCGCGAGGGAGCACTCATTGCTTCCTCTTCAGCTCCCTCGCGCGCCGCGTAGGGATGCCGGTGCCAGAAGATGACGTCATCTTCCGGCTCCGGTATCAGTGCGGTGCGCGAGGGAGCTGAAGAGGAAGCACTGAGTGCTCCCTCGCGCGCCCGCCTGCCTGCCCGACCGGCCACCCGGGGTCAGCAGGGCCAGCCTCAGGGGGGCCCTGGGGTGGCCGGCTCCTGGGCCCCCCAGGGGAAGAGGCTGGCCCTGTGGGTACATACTGGGTCGCAGGGGCTGCCGGGCCCCCTGGTGGGCCGGGCCCGGTCGCAGTCGCGACCCCTGCGACCCTGGTATGTACGCCAGTGGCTCCCAGACAAGTTAGGAGAACGCCATTCGGGAGAAAGGAACTACCGACTGGGGAGCATTTGCTCCTTAAAAGCGAGGGAGAGCATTCATTGGTGTTCACACAGGACCTCCCGAAAGTTGACCAGCCGTTGCCTCTGTTTCTCTAGAACTGTTTTGGGCTATCACCTTATGGCCAGCTGGTCAGAACTTTACCCGAATGGTAATTCCGTTCCACCGAATGGATCTGAGCATTATTTGGACAATTTGGGTGCTCAGATCGAGGCTATTTGGGGATAAAAGGCTTGTGGGGTTCCTGTGTAGTTTGACTGTATTTTTGGGGTGTTTTGTGTATTTCGTGTATGGTTCCCTGTAACAGAGAGATAATTGAGTTACCAGTTTTTTACTCAATTTGACCAGTTTTTGACACAGGGACGCCTGGGAGGGGTTTGTGTTAGGTTGAATGAAGACCCCATGCTGGGGGTCTGTGCATAAATAGCCAACTGTGGCTCAATAAAGTCAGTTGTGCTCCCAGAACTGTGTGTTGTCCAGTTACTGGGGAGGAGGAGAGCTATTCATGTTTCAGTGACTTGTTCCTGAGTTCCAGTTACCACAGACCCAGTGGAGGAAATTCCTGGTCAGGACTAGTGTCTACTACAAGGTCCATTTCTTGGTGTGAAATAGGGCTGGGTAAATTGAGCTTTAGGGGCTAAATTGTATTTTTTTGAACGATTTGCAATGTATTAATAAAGGCCATTTATACACAGGATGGGAGGGAATGGGTTAACGTATTTGATAATTTGTTCGTTGTCTATATTTATTTATAGTGTTTAGTGTACATTTCCTCTCCCGTGTATGACTATACCGTAGGAGAAGCGACTCTGTATATCGGAAAAGGTTATTCAGGTAAATTCTTATTTTAGCTGAATTCAGCTTCGGGAGAGCCGAGCAGTGTATAAAGAGAGTTTTACAGTTAAACCAGTATTTTTAGCTTATTCTGCTTCACTTCTCTCACTTCATGATTGTGGGATGGGGGCGGGGGCTATTTTTACCCCTGTGGTGCACCTGCAGCCTGTTACATGTTTAGGCTGACAAACTGGAACGGATCATTCTCAGAGCAGGACCCTCCGCAGCTCATTGTTCATGGCACCCCCCAGCATGGCGGTAACAGGCCAGTTCCTGAGCGGTAATAATGGACTATGGATGGAGGGGGGATGGGGCTGATGGGTAATCAGAAAGGGTAGGTAATAATAGGTAGGAATCACTTTTGCCATTCCCTTCTTCAATTCTCATTTTTTAGTGAATATCTAGAAAGGGTAGTAGATACCTGGAATAGCCTTCCAGTGGGAGCAGTAACAGCGATATAGAAAGGGTAGCAGATACCTGGAATAGCCTTACAGTGGGAGCAGTAACAGTGATATAGAAAGGGTAGTAGATACCTGGAATAGCCTTCCAGTGGGAGCAGTAAGAGTGATATAGAAAGGGTAGTAGATAGCTGGAATAACATTCCAGTGGGAGCAGTAACAGTGATATAGAAAGGGTAGTAGATACCTGGAATAGCCTTCCAGAGGGAGCAGTAACAGTGATATAGAAAGGGTAGTAGATACCTGGAATGGCCTTCCAGTGGGAGCAGTAAGAGTGATATAGAAAGGGTAGTAGATACCCGGAATAGCCTTCCAGTGGGAGCAGTAACAATGATATAGAAAGGGTAGTAGATACATGGAATAGTCTTCCAGTGGGAGCAGTAACAGTGATATAGAAAGGGTAGTAGATACCTGTAATGGCCTTCCAGTGGGAGCAGTAACAGTGATATAGAAAGGGTAGTAGATACCTGTAATGGCCTTCCAGTGGGAGCAGTAACAGTGATATAGAAAGGGTAGTAGATACCTGGAATAGCCTTCCAGTGGGAGCAGTAACAGTGATATAGAAAGGGTAGTAGATACCTGGAATAGCCCTCCAGTGGGAGCAGTAACAGTGATACAGAAAGGGTAGTAGATACCTGGAATAGCCTTCCAGTGGGAGCAGTAACAGTGATATAGAAAAGGTAGTAGATACCTGGAAAAGCCTTCCAGTGGGAGCAGTAACAGTGATATAGAAAGGGTAGTAGATACCTGGAATAGCCTTCCAGTGGGAGCGGTAACAGTGATATAGAAAGGGTAGTAAATACATGGAATAGCCTTCCAGTGGGAGCAGTAACAGTGATATAGAAAGGGTAGTAGATACCGGGAATAGCCTTCCAGTGGGAGCAGTAACAGTGATATAGAAAGGGTAGTAGATACCTGGAATAGCCTTCTAGTGGGAGCAGTAACAGTGATATAGAAAGGGTAGTAGATAGCTGGAATAGCCTTCCAGTGGGAGCAGTAACAGTGATATAGAAAGGGTAGTAGATACATGGAAGAGCCTTCCAGTGGGAGCAGTAACAGTGATATAGAAAGGGTAGTAGATACCTGGAATAGCCTTCCAGTGGGAGCAGTAAAGTGTAACATAGTAAAAGTAATATTGTTTGGGCAATGCCCTGTTCACCTACTCTTCTCGTATGCCAACTGTGTTTTGTTAGAAGTAATTCATTGTCTTGGTTTATCCATTGTATGCTGTAGAATATGTTTGTCACTGTAATTGTAATAGTCACTGTAATTGTAATAGTAGTGAATGTGTATGAAGTGATAATATAATTAATCAGTAATACTAGTGAGGTTTTATAAAGCACAGTTTCTGTCATACATGTTATGTTTTCAAGTTAAAGTAGCCAGTCCTGTGCTCCGGACACAGTGCTACGTCCAAGGATATTTGTGAAGTTAGCTTTGTTTCCCAGTCTTTAGAGAATCAGCTCTCTCCGAGATCTTCAGATAAAAATACATTTTTCTAATAATTTTGCAAACAGGGTCTAAAATATGAATAAGATGAGAGTCTGTGGGGTTTAAAAAGACAGATTGGGGGATCTCCCAGTATTAGCTGGTGTTTGTAACGCTGATTTATATAACTGAACATTCAGCCATTTATCATCTTAAACACTAATAATTGATTAATGTGAGAATTCAAAGACAATTTCTAATCTAAGACCAAAATAATCAAACAGGGACAATTATCCACGCCAGCTATGCTTTCAGCTCGGCTAATTTGGCCTTACATTATAGAATTCCTGTGAATTCTCACTTTAGTGAATAACTTTATTTCACTAACTAGAGAGACTTTCTATGAGTAATATTTACGCAGGCAGGTGATGATTGGACTTTGTTCTTTGCGCAATATATTCATTTAAATTTGTCTGTGTATATTGTATGTTCACTAATTGTACAGCGCTGTGGAATCTGTTGGTGCTTTATAAATACTAGTTATAATAATAATCTTCGGATTAATTATTGTCCCATATAAAGCTCCCTGTAGCCCCATTAAAGATGTTTCTCGCGTGTAGCAATACATTGTATTGTTGCTGTGAGAATCCTTGTTACGATACCTTGTTTCTGGTACACTGTTTCTATCCTGGCACGTTTTCATGTTACAGACGGTCGTTATTGGGAATTGATGACAACGTTTGTGTCACATATTCATTGTAGGCTGTTAGGATTGATTAATAAAGATATAAAATGTTACTTCTTACGTGAGATTTTACTATAATACGGTCCTGTAACGGGCTTTGCAGCTGCTGACTGACATTTTACATTGCTTCTTAGTCTGTACATAAATATTAGCAAATTCTTCCAATTTACTGATTAACGAGACATCGCATAACAGTCACAGATGGTCACTGGCTGTCTGATCGAATGTTATGCCCACCTGCCTGTCCAAACCCCGGTATATCCAGCTCTCTGCGTGGGAACGACTCATTAGAAGAGCGTATTGTGTTTTATCTAAAGGTTTTGTGTTAGCAAGCTCTCAGTCCTGGCTTCTAACGCAGACTGCAATATCATTAACACAAATTACAAAGACATGAACCTAGAACAAACACCAGGTTAACCTGTCCTTTAACAACCTCCCGCACTCTGTCTTTAATCCAGTTTTCAATCCAGGTGAATAAAGACTGTGTGCCAGGTGAACCCTGGGCTGAGCCTATTGCAGTAGTAAAACAATAGTAGTCAGTGTATCCAGAGATATATTCCAGACAAGTCAAGGGTCTCCTACTGGTCCACCACCCTGACCTGGTCTCCCCTGAGTGTCTGTAATCCTATATAATCCATCACTAAAGCATTGTTACACTCCAGTTACTCTGTTACTCCGCTGCAGTATTAGGAATTGGCTATCCACGGTCTCTTGGTAGGAGTCCGCACACAATCAGCATTACTCAATAAAGGGAGAGAGACTTTAAATGTAAAATTAAAAGAGTCAAATTGAAGGAATTCAGCTATGTTGACAGCTCGGCTAGTTTTTCCATGAATCTGAACTTCACAATTTAGAAAAAAGGAGGGAAGCATAACCACAAGTATTGCAGCAAGTGCTCCCGCTTTAATTGAAGGGCAAGCATCGATAGAAACGTTTCGGGCTATGACTTTTCTCAATGCACCTTGGCCTTGACGTTTGCATAGATGCTTGTTCTTTAGTTAAAGCACGTGTTGCTGTGATTGCCCTCCCTACATATATCACTGTAGGAGCCACAGTGAGGGGGGATAGCAGCACCTGTACCTTATTATTTTACTCCCTATTTGGAGTACGGTTGTAACTCCAGCCATGTGATCATATTAGAATTTGAACTTCACTTTTAATTGTGACTGTAGTAAATGCCCCATATATTGGCATAGAGCCGGGACTATGTGCCATAACGCTGGATATATCCCAGCTAACCATAGCCATCATCCGTCTCTTATCTAGCAGAACCTGTCTTTTACCTAACAAAACCGTCTCTTACCCAGCAGAAACCGTCTCTTACCCAGCAGAAACCGTCTCTTACCCAACAGAACCGTCTCTTACAAAACAAAATCGTCTCTTACCCAGCAGAACCCGTCTCTTACCTAACAGAACCCGTCTCTTACCCAGCAGAACCCGTCTTTTACCTAACAAAACCGTCTCTTACCTAACAGAACCCGTCTCTTACCCAGCAGAACCCGTCTTTTACCTAACAAAACCGTCTCTTACCTAACAGAACCCGTCTCTTACCCAGCAGAACCCGTCTTTTACCTAACAAAACCGTCTCTTACCTAACAGAACCCGTCTCTTACCCAGCAGAACCCGTCTCTTACCCAGCAGAACCCGTCTCTTACCTAACAGAACCTGTCTCTTACCTAGCAGAACCTGTCTCTTACTTAACAGAACCCGTTTCTTACCTAGCAGAACCCGTTTCTTACCTAGCAGAACCCGTTTCTTACCTAGCAGAACCCGTCTCTTACCTAGCAGAACCCGTCTTTTACTTAACAGAACCCGTCTCTTACCTAACAGAACCCGTCTCTTACCTAGCAGAACTCGTCTCTTACTTAACAAAACCCGTCTCTTACCCAGCAGAACCTGTCTTTTACCAAGCAGACATAGAATAGGTTTCCTTGTCTCCGTCTGTATTTCAGGATTAATATATTCACGTTTATTCAGATTAGAAGAAGAGAATATAATAAACAATATCTGGAGTTCGGTAAATCACGCTATAATTCACAGTCTCTGTATGTGTCACAATTGAGGATTCATTACATTACAGGAAACCAGACCAGATTCTCGGCAAACACTTAGTGATCCGGCAAAAGAGAAAAAGGAAGTTTGTTGTAGGAAGTACTTCAAAAATAAATTATACAAAGTTATTAGTATACAATGTGTGCAGTTATCAGTATACAATGTGTATGGCTATCAGTATACAATGTGTACGGCTATCAGTATACAATGTGTGCGGCTATCAGTATACAATGTGTACGGCTATCAGTATACAATGTGTACGGCTATCAGTATACAATGTGTGCAGCTATCAGTATACAATGTGTGCAGCTATCAGCATACAATGTGTACGGCTATCAGTATACAATGTGTGCGGCTATCAGTATACAATGTGTGCAGCTATCAGTATACAATGTGTGCAGCTATCAGTATACAATGTGTACGGCTATCAGTATACAATGTGTACAGCTATCAGTATACAATGTGTACGGCTATCAGTATACAATGTGTACGGCTATCAGTATACAATGTGTGCAGCTATCAGTATACAATGTGTACGGCTATCAGTATACAATGTGGGCAGCTATCAGTATACAATGTGTGCAGCTATCAGTATACAATGTGTGCAGCTATCAGTATACAATGTGTATGGCTATCAGTATACAATGTGTGCAGCTATCAGTATACAATGTGTATGGCTATCAGTATACAATGTGTGCGGCTATCAGTATACAATGTGTACGGCTATCAGTATACAATGTGTATGGCTATCAGTATACAATGTGTGCAGCTATCAGTATACAATGTGTGCAGCTATCAGTATACAATGTGTATGGCTATCAGTATACAATGTGTACGGCTATCAGTATACAATGTGTACGGCTATCAGTATACAATGTGTGCAGCTATCAGTATACAATGTGTATGGCTATAAGTATACAATGTGTATGGCTATCAGTATACAATGTGTATGGCTATCAGTATACAATGTGTACGGCTATCAGTATACAATGTGTACGGCTATCAGTATACAATGTGTGCAGCTATCAGTATACAATGTGTATGGCTATAAGTATACAATGTGTATGGCTATCAGTATACAATGTGTATGGCTATCAGTATACAATGTGTGCAGCTATCAGTATACAATGTGTGCAGCTATCAGTATACAATGTGTACGGCTATCAGTATACAATGTGTATGGCTATCAGTATACAATGTGTGCAGCTATCAGTATACAATGTGTGCGGCTATCAGTATACAATGTGTACGGCTATCAGTATACAATGTGTACAGCTATCAGTATACAATGTGTGCAGCTATCAGCATACAATGTGAACGGCTATCAGTATACAATGTGTATGGCTATCAGTATACAATGTGTGCAGCTATCAGTATACAATGTGTACAGCTATCAGTATACAATGTGTGCAGCTATCAGTATACAATGTGTACAGCTATCAGTATACAATGTGTGCAGCTATCATCATACAATGTGTACAGCTATCAGTATACAATATGTACAGCTATCAGTATACAATGTGTACAGTTTTCAGTATACAATATGTACAGCTATCAATATACAATGTGTGCAGCTATCAGTATACAATATGTACTGCTATCAGCTATCAGCATACAATATGTACAGCTATCAGTATACAATGTGTACAGCTATCAGTATACAATGTGTATGGCTATCAGTATACAATATGTACAGCTAT